GGGTAAGTACCACGACCTCGCAGAAGACCAGCGTAAAGTGGAAGTATGACAAATACTTTCGCGTTTCGTCTGGTGAGTGTGGTAGCCGGAGCCCAATTGTCAAAAGGTTTTCAACGCATCTGTAACCATCGGGTGTGGCAGATGTCCATGGGCAGCGATATTCACTTAACATCAGGTGAACCGTCTGCACGTTTGACAAATTTTCACATAAAAAAAAATCACATTTTGCTTAATATATTAAGCAGGATGCATGTAAATTTAAAATTTTACAACATGAACTGCATAGATAAATTTTCGTTGTCTTTGACCGTTGTCAGGATTCGAACCCGCCCAGAAACTAATAATTAAACTAAGCGGTCGATATACTCCCCGTACGAAAATGTTGATGTCTTATATTTAATTTTAGTACACTTTTAGCAATGCTTGGCGCCGTCTAGTATGCTTCCTATGCACCAAAAACAGTTTGTTTATTTAAATAAGAATATTTGTAATTATCGCTTCTGCTATTGAAATTTATAATTAATTGTAGTTTTCAGTGCTAGTGTCTGCACTTAATATTAGCGTTAAAATGTGCAGATAAATTTTACAACACAATTGTAAACTTCTGTTCGTATCCCTAATACGTGCGTAGCACTAAGGAAATAATATCATTTTTGCATATTGCAAGTTTCCCTTTCGAATTCGCAGTCGCTTCGATTCTGTTTCAGCTAGTTTGTTAGATGAATCATGAACCGTACGATCGCCTGTCGCGATATCTAGCCGATGCGTTTCAAGTGCACCGGCCCCCATCAATCATCGCGATCCTATCAGCAGGTCGATGTTTGATTTAATCGCTCGTAATTTCGTTCCCGTCTCCCCTTTCTCCTCGTTACGCTCCTCGGAGGGTTCGCTGGTATGCCTGTGTTGATTTTATCGTTCTTGATTTGCGCAACCTCGCGTTTATCACCTTCGGGGGAGAGGGCAGAAATGTGTCTCTCCATTTTGCCGATTTTGTTAAGCTGCAAACATTACTGGAGATCCTGACAAGGCGTTCTTATTTGTTATAATTCATATCTATCTATCTAATCACATATCTAAATATGCGATGACTTCTAGTCTTTATTCGTGTGACGTGTCTTTCAACCCTAATAAATATTAGCATTAAAAGGGGAAAAAATATCTGTTTCTTGGCAATACTTCTCAATAAGACTTAATCTACGACTTATCTATGAAGTGAAACTAATTTTACGGATTTATCGCGTTTATTTTTAATTTTAGTTCCCGACGTTTCGAAGCCTTTACAGCGTTTATGGTCACGAGACAGACTGAGGTGTTAGATGTCTGATTGTCAAAGTTAACCCGGGCTACCGCCAGTTTTTATATTATTGATTTTGTCTCCGATCTATGCAGAGGGAGTTAATTGTATCTTGTCTTGCAGTAGTGGTTCTTTTGGGCTTAGATTAAATTTTATTGATGATAGGATCCCAAGCTGATGGTAGTACCCACCCAACCCTCTTCTCTATTGAAATTAGGGTGTTTTTTTAATTTCAATAGCCTCGCGAATCATCCTTGCGAGGAATCGGTGTTCTTTTGCAAGGATCTGTGGTCTATCAAACCTGATGTAGTGGTTAGGCCGATTTAGAGTGTGCTCACAAACTGCAGACTTGTTTAATCTACTATGTTTTATGTCAGCTATATGTTCTTTCACGCGGGTTTTTATAGCTCTTTTCGTTTGTCCTATGTAAGAGAGCCCACATTCACAGTCAAGTTTGTACACTCCTGGATCTTGCAGAGGGATATTACACTTGACAGATGGTAAGAACTGACTAATCTTCTTCAGCGGCTCGTAGAATGTATTAATTGAAGCCCGCTTTAAGATATAGCCAATCTTGTCGGTGACTCCTCTGACATATGGTAGAACAGCAGGTACTCGCTCTTAAGAAAGATTTACCCACGGTAGCTAACTGGGATGGATGGTGGTGAGAGTCACCGTTTAGGTATCTATTTGTATGGGTTGCCTTCCTATACACAGTGTGACTTATAGTGTTATTTGGATTGCGGATGACCAAAACATCTAAGAAAGCTAAAGAGTTATTATTCTCTAATTCCATAGTGAATTGTATTTTGGAATTTACTGAGTTAAGGTGATTTAAAAATGCATTAACTTTACTTGTTGGTAAAATGGTGAAGGTGTCATCTACATACCTCTTATAAAACCTTGGATAAATGGGAGCTGTGCGAAGGGCCTTCTCCTCAAAGTCTTCCATAAATATGTCAGCGACAATGGGAGATAATGGGCAGCCCATTGCTACACCATCTATCTGTATGTAAAATTCCTACTTCCAAAGCAAATAGCCGGATGTTAGGCAATGTTTAAGTAGTAATGCATACTCTTCCGGCATGTTATTCTCTTCTAGCTTCCTTGTTACAATTGAGATGCAGTCTTCTAATGGTAGGCATGTAAATAAAGACTGTACATCAAAACTGACCATTGTTTCATTGTCAGCAAGATATAGTTGTTTTATCTCACGAACAAAATGGTAAGAATCCTTTGTGTATGCCCTTGTGTGTCCTCTCAGCGGTGAGAGAATTTGTACTAGATTTTGAGCCAGTCTGTAAGTTGGTGAGTCGATCTGGCTTACAATAGGGCGTAATGGCAAGTTTGGTTTGTGTATTTTAGGCAACCCATACAATTTAGGGGGTTTTGCACATGAAGGTGTCATCGATTTCACGTCTAGATTTAATTTTTCGGAGTATTTTTTAATGAGATCGCTAGTTAATTTAAGCGTTTTAGTGGTTGGGTCTGTTTTGACCTTTTTATAAGTGCTTACATCCGACAACAGTTCTTGTATTTTCAAATTATAATCCGACGTTTTCATAACCACCGTAGCATTTCCTTTATCTGCGCAAAGAACAGTTAAATCTTTGTTATTGCGTAAGCTGTTTAACGCGTTAAATTCATCTTTGGGGAGGTTAGACTTCGGTACCGAACTTCGACGTAATAAAGACGAAATATCTTGTGGTATACCTTCTAAATCTTCCTTACTGATATTATTTTTATATAGACAGTCCTCGACACTACAGATTATTTCTTCGTACGGGATTTTTCGCGGCGTAATTGCGAAATTTAAGCCTTTCGATAACACCTTCATAGTCGATTCATCCAGTGTTTGTTGTGACAGATTAAAGACCGCGCGATGTCTATTATCTGTGTCTGTGGTCAACGGTTGCGTTTCGTTCATGCGTTGCGACGATCGTTTGGCACTTGATTTGTTGACTAATTTATGATATTTTTCAATAAGTTTATTTTTGCATTGCTTATATTTAGTTGTTTCGCGCTGATTTAATGTATACATGCAGTTTTGGTAATCAAATGCCTTTAAAATTGTTTTAAGCTGACTGGATGAATTATCTATGGCAGAATTAATGACACATAGATCAGATCTATTTTGACGAATTACCCTACGTAACAATTTTATACTGGCCCGGCTTAAGATCTTCGCGCTTCCTCGAATGTCCTTCTTCGATGAGATTTTGACACACGTAGGAATGAGATTGTTGTCTCGGCATCTCTTCAAGAAATTTAAAGATGTTACATATCTTGCGCGCTTAGTCTTCAGATCTTCCAGACCGCGAAATTTATTTGCAACTTCCAGTCCGTACTGGTTTACATAATAATTTCTTGTATTTACGCGATTACACATTATAAATGAAACTAATTTTACGGATTTATCGCGTTTATTTTTAATTTTAGTTCCCGACGTTTCGAACCCTTTACAGCGTTCATGGTCACGGGACAGACTGAGGTGTTAGATGTCAATAGAGAAGAGGGTTGGGTACTACCATCAGCTTGGGATCCTATCATCAATAAAATTAAATCTAAGCCCAAAAGAACCACTACTGCAAGACAAGATACAATAAGCTCCCTCTGCAGGGATCGGACACAAAATCAATAATACAAAAACTGACGGTAGCCCGGGTTAACTTTGACAATCAGACGTCTAACAACTCAGTCTGTCCCGTGACCATGAACGCTGTAAAGGGTTCGAAACGTCGGGAACTAAAATTAATAATAAACGCGATAAATCCGTAAAATTAGTTTCATTTATAATGTGTAATCGCGTAAATACAAGAAATTATTATTCTCTATGAAGTGTTTTTATCAATTGACGCATAGACATCACTTAATACCTTTATAGACTCATTTCTCTGATACAATGTTACCGGTACAGCCGTGAGCGCGATCAAGTGTCATCCGCGGTGTCGTGTGACCTCACTCTATCACCATTTCGCTCCATTAGGCGATACGGTGTGACTGTCTATCCATTATAAATAATAAATATCCCAGTTAGTCCTGTTTTATCCTTATATGCATTGTAAACAGGCTTAACGTATACGCGATTAGTACTTGTCTTAACACATATTTTTTCATGAACTTAGCGTTTAATTTTGTTTAATTTTTAAAACTTCCAGCAGTATGCTTTTAATACATCAGCTTTACAATATACATAGGCGAGACGTTCTATAAGTACGGTACGGTAAGAAGCAGGAACGTATCCAAGTATTTTTCGAAATATACCCATAATTATAAATATTGTTTCACACATAGTATTCAAAATATTTCTAACAAAAATGCCTGGTTTGTTTTTCTAAAAGGTTTGTGTTCGTTAATAGTTTGCAAGACTGATGATGCAATATTGCGGATGTATATTCTTCGGGATTTCTTTTAATATGAATATGTAAATAGAAGTTCGCTATGACTAGAAGGGGCCTTGGCCCGTAACTTTTCGGTGTCTTCTTTTATCACGACTTCTTGGATAGTTTTTTTTATTAAAATCATAACCAGAAATGTTGTGCTAACGACGTAGTTCATAAAGCGCGACGTTTATCATAACAGTCCCCGGCATCCGAGCCCGTTACAACTTAGTAAAGTGGAAACCGTGACGCGCTTCGCGCAGGGCGATTAGTAAACGTCACATTCGAGTGCCTCGGCTCGTGACCGACCGGTAAGTGAGGCCTCAGGGACAGTACGCGGACGTAGGTGGTGCGGTGTCGTCGACTTTTGGTTGCACGCGGTCGTATTGGCTCAGTTCGTCTTCGATAGAGGGCGTGACGGATGGCCCGGCGAGGCTTGCGCCGCGCTGCCGCACGCCCGGGTCGCGGGTTAAACATCCACTTTGTGCACGAACCCCACGCCATATTGATTTTGCGGCCGATCGCGATCGTAATGCGCCGCGTATCTTCGACCTCGCCGTCCGCATCTGATCGCGTATCTCTAGCGGATGCAACGCGAACGTCAAACCGACTGTTGGAATGTTGGGTCCTCGCGTTCAACGTTTCTGGTTTATATTTCTTTTTTTTTTTTTGTGAAAAGCCCGCAAGCGAGCTGGCAGTTCACGTGATGATGAGTGATGTCCGCCACCAATCATCATTTGCAACACCCGTAGGGTTTCAGATGCGTTGCCACCTTTTAATAAAGTGATCTCCGGTTAACTTGCTCACCAGACGAAACGCATAAGTATAACAATTCCACTTCACGCCAGTCTTCTGTGAGGACATGGTACTTCCCCGGACGAATCTGCCCATTTGTCCAGCGGCATAGATATATGCATGGCCCTACCACAGTTAAAATATGTGTTATATAGAATGATATTTTCTTTGATTTATGTGATAATAAACAGATGTGGGACGACCCCCCACTAGATGGAGTGACGACCTGTGCAAATGTGCGGGAAGTCAATGGATGCAGGTAGCTCAGGATCGTACTTCGTGGCAGTCTATGGGGGAGGCCTATGTTCAGCAGTGGACTCAAACAGGCTGAAATGATGATGAAACCGATGTGACTAGCGACTTACGTGAGCTTCATGCAAATTCTAAATGGCACTGATTATATTGTCAGATGGTCTAGTTATACATTACAGACGAAAAAAAACATGTATAACCACTGTACTAATACGTGCCGTCACCATTAGAAAAGTTTCTGAACTCCAAATTCCTCTTCCTCCTGCGGTGCATTTCGATAAAATAAATGTTTACGTGGGAGTAGAAGTGGTCGCAATTTACTTCGGATATGCAAAAGCGATCTTTATCGCGCGTTAAAAGGTGTTCTGTCGATCAAATATCGTCTTTAAAGGTGGGTAAACCGCTTCCTTTAAACAAGAAAGGGCGTTAATGTTTGAGCACAATCGTAAAACGATAGCGCGCTATTATCATAAATGCTAAAACTTGCAAATGAACATTTATGAATGAAATGATGAAATGATGTGACAGCTTATACGCTGGAATAACTCAAAGAAGAAGTGGTTTTTGTCCAGGATTAATTATTTAATTTACAAAAAACAAATCTGTTTATAAGGAATTAAAAGGTTACGTTTACATATTTTGATACATCAACGTAAAGCTGTTACATAGCATACATCAATGATATCGCTATTTGTGGGTTTCGTTTGCTCTTGATCTGAGCTTTCGCGCTACGGCAAATCGAAGAGATCCTTATTAGTCTTTTTGATAGGCGGGATCCTGTCTGCACCTGTATCTGGTGTCGAGGTGGTTCCTTGTAAAGGGATTGCGTCTCGTTGACCTGGCGCATACGCATCCCCAATGTGGTGTCGCGACTTTTTCTTTAACGGTACCTCGTTCCAGATGTCCGCTGCCCGCTCGGTTCTATTGTATCCCATGCAGCTTTGTACGGTTGACAAATTTGCTTCGATACAATGGATGCATGCTGTAAACGTTTCTTATTGGAATTTCCGAGAAGTTCCTTTCGCTAACGAAATTTTCGAGAAAAGTTTGTACTGATAATGTTCTGTGCAACGTCAATTAGCTCTTTCCTTTGGGAGCATTCAGCCCATTTATAAACTTCTTCTCAGCATTTGTTCCATATTGTCTTTGGATCAGCTTTCTAGATATTTATTGAATATAATTACGCATCAATTCATTTATGATCTTTTAAAACCGCCAATTCTGCTAATATGCTGTACGACGTTTTCATAAACTATTTCACTAAACCTATTTTTCATATTGATTATGTTAGCTACCATGACAATTTACTTCGACTCAGTGGTCGTAGATTCAGTCAAATTAACGTATTCAAGTATTTCCGACGACTTATTTGGTCCAACAACACATTGAGTCTCCTATAAGCCTTACACATGCCACAGCTACAACCGGAGATTGCTATCAGAATGGTGTTAAACTGTCAATAGCCAAGTTCCCGATTCCTGATTATCCAATAGCCCTCGCGCCTCCAATTAAGGCAATTCCCACGCGATACAATATCTAAGCTGTTTATTACATCGCCTCAGTTAAGTGACCACCCTTGCCGAGCACCAGAGCGTGCAGTCGCCTTTATCTGACTTCCTTATGCAAATGATTGCAAATAGCTGCTTTCATCATCCCATTTAAGTGTTAGGCGGGTAGCTTGGTGCACACGTTTAGTGTAACGCAAGCCTTCCTTCTCCCTGCTTTGGGTATGCAGATGTGATTCAGATATCGCCCTCCGCTTTCATTTCCCTGTTGTAAAGGAATCCGCAAGATTGCTTCTACAGGCTCGTACCGCGTCTACAACAATGCTGGTCGTGGTAAATGACGTGGTTTTGAGTCTTCTGTAAGCACAAGTCTACTACGACAAATTGTACCTTCGAAACTATAATAACCATGATCGAAATGGGAAAAAGACTCAATTTCTAACGTTACAGAACATCTGTATGTCTCTTTCATATTGTTTCGCAGAATTGTAATACTTCAATCCCATTGATTGTTGCCATGTATACATTGATAAGTCTACCTCCAGAACCAAGTATACAGCGTGTCGCTACTAACGCGACCATAAATCAATACACATTTAGAGGATAACTTATTAAAATTGTATTAATCATTTACATTCTTTAAACATCAATATTTACCGAGTTATTGAATTTTCCAAAACAAACAATTTTAGAACATCCTTAAGTATAAAACTGTTTGAAAGGGATAAAACATACTGTAAGAAGGAGAGATTTGTAATGCGATACTGCGGCAACGAATGAAAAAGTGTCTGAATGTATGAATCAGTCAGTTGTAGTTGTATAGGATGTTACAAATTTTGTTTCTTTTTTATTTAATTAGTTTGCTTGAATTTTTTTTTAATTATGGATTTTTTAATATTTTATATTTTTTATGCTTATTGGCAAGTAGCTTTAGACGTGTGTTCATTTATTGTCGCGATTGTAACGACACGCCGTATATTTATTTTTGATGTTATACTTCTTATGGCGCCTTTGGAAAAAATACTAGAGTAAAATTTTTACGATGCGCTCACACACAGATCCTCAAAAACCAATAACAACTTTTTGACAATTACCAATAATTCCAAGTTATTTAAATAAACCGTTTTCAATTGCATTTAATATCTTCACTCTAAAGAAGTATAACTACATACTTTTTGGTCGTTTTTTTGTATATGAAAGTAACAAAAGCATTCGGTTCGAAAGTCTACCGTCCCGACATTCGCTACCGCATCGACCGCAAGGCGTTGTGCACTCAGAGCAACTGACCCTATCGCATGCAGTTTCCATACAAAATGCCCTTGATCGCTATCATCGTCTTAGTGAATGTGTTGCGAGCGGAACTTTCACCCGCAATGCCTTTGAATAGCTCTTTGAGCTCTGAGATTTGCCCGTTGATACAAAAATTCTCCAGCATTGAACATAGCGAAATGCTCTCAATTCGATTCAACCTGCTAAAATCTAAATCATAAACTCTAGCTCGTGGATTTCATATGTTTAATATTTTCCTAACGAAGATATTTCAGCGTTTTTGTGAGTGTACGACTTTTATACCCTTTAAGTTCGCGTCTGTTACGGAGATCAGTAAACCTGAGTTTTACCGCCTGTCTGCCGTTAGCCCTACTTGGGAGCAGACACCCAATTATTTTGTTGTGACCCCTGCAGATGGACTGTACTATGTAATTTATTAGGTCCAGAGAAGAAGCCAGAAGATACTTCACGGTCTATGTGTATACATAGTTATGTTATCCCCTTTTCGTTACGGTTTTTAGCAAAATTAAAATTAACTTGTACCAAGATTTAATTGCCAAGGGATGGGTAGATTTTGGCTATCAATGTAACTTTGCACTTTATAATACCTATGCCCTTTGAATAAGGACTGGTTGTATTCGTCGTGTATTAAATTATATTATCAATTTTTTTTTACGTTTTAACATGCTTAAAGATTTGGTGTTCTAGAATTTCTAAGAAGTCAACGCCACGACTCGGATACGGTAAGTTTTTCAAACATGTATGTATAATTGGATAGTAATTATAAAATAATGTATACCTAATGTATTGTAATAGAGAAAATCATTGTTAATAATGTGTGGAGAGTATTAAATAATTTAATAGGTAATATTGAAATGGTGAAAACGGGCATCGTAACTGAAAGATCGTAGGCGTCCGATTGCTCGTTACAATGTCCGATTACCTTAAACTTATGGAAATGTCGCCGACGAATAATCAGTATCTACCTCTCTTTTTGGTTAAAGCGATTTGAAATATCTACCCTTAAATAAATTATTAGGTTCTCGTGTTACTTATTTAATCTTGCTCGATTTATTTGAGTATTGATGTTAAAAACGATACACTACTTTGAATACGAAACTGTAAATAATATTAACAGATTTTTGGGACTTAAGGCTTTACTGTATAGTTGACACACAGTTATTAGTAATACTATTATCACAGTTATTAGTAATACGATTACTAATAACTGTGATAATCTGTCATAGACTTAGGCCATTTGCATACTTTTTCTCATAAATTATTAATATGTCTTTTTCTTGTTTATTATTTTTGTTTCTGAATATACATTAATCGACAAAATCAAACGAAACAAAAATATATAAATTCTAGTTCTCGATCTTTAGTTCTAAATTTTGAATATCTATTATTGGACAGTGTCCCCTGATCATGGGGGCATGTTCTCACCAATATAAAAGTAGTCAAACTTGTTGCATATTAAAAAAACCCTTTTAATAGTTTAATTTTTCATATTATGTGCATGATACACGCGATTATAGTAAAACTTGAAACCTCAAAATACTCTTCAACTAAGGATCCAGACATCTGGGATCAGACGGCTGGTAGCTCGTAGTATCACAGGTGGGTGGGCCAGGAAGTATCCAGCAAACACCCACGAGCCTTCAGCGCACCGTGATTCATGCCCCAACAGCACCGACTACAGCCATTAACAAAGCGATTCTGACTGAACATTGCCAGTGCCGGCT